CCATTGCACATCAAAAGCTAAGTTAGTCACAATTACAAAAAGGGATCAGAAGACAAACAACAAAGGTGACCTAGGTACTTACTTCCTTGCAACAGTCCAGACTCAAATAGGTTCTTCTGAGTGACTAGGTTTCGGTACTCCCGCTCGGTCTCAGACAACAATGACACCTTCTCAACTTCCTCTTCTTGCTCCTTGGCAATTGGTCCCCACTTCACCGAACCTGCAACAATGGTTATATACTACTCAGCCATTTAGACTTGCACAAGTAATAATGGAGAACCAAGAATGAACACAACAAAACAGCAATTAGTCTTAAAGGATGGGGCCAAGGACCTATAGACTGGAAGTGGGTAGGAATGTGTTTGACAACGGTCTTCCCTGGGGGACACTCCCAATCACCATAGGCCAAGCACCACCTGTTCCTCCAAGACTTCTGAGTAGAAGGCATGTCACGGATAAAATAACCCCTCTCCTTTGCTTTTCGGCAATTGGCTTGTACCCAGCCAAAGCTTCCCTGTTGCTTTGAAATTGAGTACAAATACATGAACTGCTCAAAGGTTGGCTCATCCAACCCAACCAACCACCAGGCAATGTAAATCCCATGAAGAAGAATCCAAAAGTTGGGATTATATTGCCCCGGCGCATATCCCAGTCTAGCCAACATCATCTGCACCCAAGGATGAAACGGTAGTCTGAAGCCATGCTGGTACATATCTGTGAAAATCAACACTGAGCCATCTGAAGGATATCTAACCACATCAGCTTCAGTGGGTAATCTCAAGCCTACATAAGGAGGAATACAATAATCTGCCCGAAGCTCGGCCAACTTTACTTCTGAAAGAGAATTCCGCCTCGCCAACGGGACACCAACCCGTATATCCACACCCTCTGAAGCTGAACCCACGACTACTCCTACGGACCCAGATGGGGATGCCTGATTACTCGAGCCCACCTCTGTTGTATAAGGCCTGGCTAGAGCCCGATCAAATATGGCCTCTAACTCCTTGTAATTTCTCTGCATCCTATTATATGAAGACAACCCATAATCTATGGATGGCTCAGCCCTATCCCCCTCATGTACTACCATCCTACTCTCAATAACGCCTTCTACAACATCCTCTGTCTGGGAACTCTCACATTCTGAACAAACATAAGGGCTTGGCTCTGGCTGGGAACTCTCACTTTCGGTATCTTTCCCACCAAAGGCAGGGGGGTCATGGCTTTCTCTATCAGAACTTTCAGACATCTACAATTTGCATAAACAAGAAAATGAACTAATGCACATGCAAGAAGGATCGAAACATACATTCAACAAGTTCATATCAATGTTCAAGGTGTTCATCCAGTTCATACTCATACTCAAGGTGTTTATCCTAGTCTTCAACATGTTCATACAAAAAAGGACAATTCAATTTGAAAATTCAAGGCAAAGGAGGTCTAACCTTGTTTGCACCACCACGGAAAGCTCGCCGGAAATCTTTCTGATCACTACTCCACCACGAGGTATTTCGTCGGAAATCTCCTTTCCTCCTTCTCACTTTCTCAAAAATTTCTCAAGTCTCAAGTGTGAGACCTTCTCTACTCCAAGCTCCTATTTATAAATCCTCAAGGGTACCAATGCCTTGGTTCACGAGAAAACCCTACCACCCTTCCAATTTCCCTCTCAAAATCCTTGTACCTGCCTCACATTTTGAAATTCAAAATTCAAAATCCAAGGAAAACAATTATTAATTGGGTGGGCAAAGAAAACTAGAAAGGGGCTTGCTGAACGGCAAGGCCCGTGCAGAACCAATATAGGGGTCACAAAAATTTAAACTCTACAAAACACCACTAAGGCCTAGCCCTAACCCTTGCCCAAGCCCTCAAGGCAAAAGTCAACCCTTGTCAACATTTTAAAAAAAAATATCCTACTCTAGCCTTGCCAAAGTTCTAACTCCAAAGCCGGAACGGCTGCCCAGCCCATCCAATATCCTCCCTTGCCGAAACAAAGCAACCAAGGGCACCTATCGAACGGTAAGGCCCATGGAAAAATTTGGGGACTTGCAAAGACGACAAAATCTTGCCCCGAAAACTCAAACCAAACACCCTTGCACAAATACAACAGACCCAGCTCTAACTCCTACCAATTTTTCTCTCCTAACTGAAGGAATTGTCTATACACAAATTGTAATATCCACCCTTGCCGAACGGCAAGGGCCATGCAGAAGCAATGGAAGGGTCACAAAAAAATATTATCACCTTGCCCACGGAGACCCAACTCCTAGTCTTGCCGAAGCCCAAGCCTTGACGGCTCCAAGGATTGAAAAAGTCCAACTTCAGGCCTGCCCAAACCAAAACAACCCA